CTTTACTGGATTCATCAAACATTTAAACTTGTTATTGCCGTTATATTTCTAACGATCACATGGATTTTGATTTCTAAACTACTTTGAACTATCGAGTATGCCTAAAAAAAGCTRTTCTAAGCAAATCAGTCACGGAAGAWGAAGCACTATCAGAATTTATTTTCTTCACACCSAATGTGCCAATTAAATWTGTTTATCTATTTAATGAATCTTTAATATTGAATGTAGTAATTTTAAGTATTTYATTCTTCGAAAAACATGTTTTTTAAATTGGAACTAAAAAAATGTTTGCACTTGCGTTAATAAAAGTTTGCTTATAGAATTTAATTTTAAAAATTTTTACTATGCGGTAAACTTAAATCTATGTTTTATTTCTATGAATAAATTTATTTTCTTTAATTTCCTTGCATCACAGCTATTTTAATTATTATATAAATCTATTTTACTTACCGTTTTTATAGATCTGAGAGTAATTACTCAACTAGCATCTTGTCTCATTATTAAATTCTATCAAAATTATTCCTGCCAAAATACAACATACAACATATTAACTATAATAATTATCAACGTACTAATTTATAACGTCGTAAAGGTTACGTTTCTTAAATATTTTTGTATATATTATAAACAATTTTAGAAGACAATGATTACTAAACAAATTTTTTTAACTCACACAAGAAGTGAAGAAAAATTTTTGTAAAAAACCAAAATGAAGCAACCAAAACTTTGAACATAGATATGATCCGATATCTTGTTTCATCAACGCTGATCGTACGAAAATAATTTTGAAGTGTCGTTCACAGAACAAATATTACTCACTTATTTAAATGAAAGTCGAAATATTAAAAGTAACTATTGTTAGACTTGAAGTCGTTTACGCTTTTATATGTGATTGCGGATCTTATGTAAATGAAGCTAGAAAGATATTGAGTATAATAAATTAATATGCGGGAAAAGAATGTATTGCGTAAAACTGTGTATCTTGTATTCATTTCAAACTCGTTTTACCTCTTCTACTTTATAATTTTTTTGAACATCAATATCCATCGACGTAAATGCATTATTTGCACAAACTGATTTATGCATAATTTTTTATAATGTATTGTAATCTTCTATCGATAAAGATGTAAATTTATTTTTATAGTACAATATACAAATGAGATACTCAATTATCTTTATTTGTTAGTAGAAACGAGTTTCTAACATGTATTATAAAATAGGATGAATAAAAAATTACATCAATAGTTKTTTAATGCAAAGRTGTAGCTATTTAAGCAACGAAGAATAATGAGTTTTATAAAATATTAGATCAATTCTATGAAAGACGTCAAAAGCCACTTATACTAAGAACAAAACGATCACTCACTTGCTAAAAATCAAATGTTATATTTAATCGAGAGTTTTTGAAAATTATAGATATGACACGAAACTCAGTATCACGACACTGGGACTACTCTTATAAAATAGATTTCTATTGTTGTTTTTATGTCATTTACAATAAAAATTCTTTTTTCGGGTATTGGATACTATGATGCTTTATACAAGAGATTATATGCTTTAATATTATTGGAACTACAAAGCTTTATTACAATCATATACAATTTCAAATAAGTTTGTTTTATATATAATTACTCATATGAATCACATATTTTTATTAACCTTAAGACGATCCCACGGAGGCACGAAACAAATTGAGATCGAATTTTATCGAGAAAGTAAGTAGAAAAATGAAATGCTGAATGTTAAAAGATAATTGCATATYAAGGTGATAAATAAAAATTATAAATACGATTATAAACTTCAATAATAAAATAAGAAATATCTAGTAAATTAAAAAAAATAAACATAAATAAAGAMTATTCTTCAAATTATTTTATAAAAAATTGCAAAAGGTTTTTAAAATCTACTCAATCATGTTAAATCATTCTTTTAAAAATGAAGCAAGGAGAACCTTACCACCATATTGCTACGACATAAGTTTTTCTGAAATCGTTTAGACTGGACAAACAGTTTTATAGAAGAAATCGAAAAGGAAATCCAGTAATAAACAAATCACAGTATGGATAATGCGACCACTTAAGTGACATCTTGCATTAAGTATATTTATGTTTTATTTGTATTGTCTATAAATTTAATGAAATTATAAAAATTATAATAATTATATATTTTCGGCACTAAAACTAACTGTGATATTTAAAAAATATATTTAAATTATTCTAGATCCAAGTAAAAAAAAAATGAACTATATTAACAGTCGATAATCATTCAAATACAAGAACTTTTTCTACTAATAAATCTATATAATGATTGACAATAAATTACTATTATTTTTTCACCTCAATTCTCTCGTACTGATCAATATAGATTTGAGATGTTTAAAAAGATATACCTTCAGAAATAAAAATTAAAAGAAATATAGATATATGTATATAGCATTAATTTCATTAAACAAATAAAAGACAAGGAAAGCCATTATTCGGAGAGTATAATAAGAAAATAAAAGAAAGATTTAAAATTAATGTTTAGGTATCAATTTGGAAAAATATAAAAGATGAAAGATTTAAAAAAGGACGGAAACTCTCATAAAGAAATTCTACACAAAAACTCATAAGAAATTAAAATTAAAACTAATAAAAATGCAATCTTGCAATAACTACGACAGAAAGCTTACATTAAAGCTCTCCCACAAGCTCGTAAAAARTGGCAAAGGTATTTYCACTGCTTTTGTTTTTTAATAAATAGTCTATAGATCACAATTTCTTGCAAATAATACATAATTCATACATTTTTAAGGCTTTACTGGATTCATCAAACATATATWCTTATTATTGCCGGTATTTTTCTCACGATCGTATGGATTTTGATCTCAAAACTATTTGTCACGTTCAAATCTGCCTAAAAAAACAAGTGTTTCTCAGGTAATATGGACACGAAATTAGAAACCAAAGTCATAAATAATATTAAAAAAAGTTTTAATTAGGCAATTTCGTCTGTAAGATGAATCTTTAATAAAGAATGCTGCACTTTTAAGTACAATATAGAAATAGATACATTTTTTAATTAAAATGATAAATCTTATACWCTTGCATGTACGAAAGCTTTAATATAAATTTTTTAAAAATAGTTAGTGCTAATGCGCTTTAAACTTCAGTTTACGTTGTATTTTTCCAGTAGAATTTATTCTTTTTTATCCTTCTGCATCATAACTATCAAAATTATATTATCTCCTCACGCTTAMWCTCCTATATGTGATTKTAGACTTTAAATAGGTAAASCTASAWAGACATCAAATAGAATTAATTAWTATAAGGAWATACTTTGTAAACTGTTTTTCTTATATTCATTGCCAACAAGTTTTRTCTCTACTAACTAACCCTGACGARACCCTGACTMTKTAAAKAAACATTTAAATTTTATTATGYTATTGCATTAATCGAWGCAACATTRACCTGGTCTTGCAATAAWTATTCTTCAAGATGATAGTTTATTTCTCTAATGTCTCACAATGCGCAATGCAATAATTTATAAAAAGGTATCATGTATAATTAGAAAAAAAACGAAGTTTATACGCATTATTCTAGAAAAAACGGATAAAAAATCTAGCTGATAAATATTCAGAGCAGATAAAAGACTATTTAAGCCTTATARRAAACMAAAGGCTTAGTYARTGATCAGTTAGTTCTATGATAGACGTAGACGYTCACAGGTTYTGAGAATAATACGATCACTTACTTGGTTAAAATCGAGAGTTACGATAATTCGTGTTGTACTCGTGTTTTGTATAAATTTATTTAAATTTCTTCAATAATTATATATATATAT